TGAAAGCTCTCCTTCAGAGGCAGAACAGCTGTGCAGACCAGATGCTTCAGACACACCACAAGAGGAGGCACCTCTGCATCACGGGAGCTTCCCAGAAGCATCTGGTTGATCATGGTGGGAAGCCCGGCAGAGCCAGCAAGGTGTGCTGGCTGAAGCCTCGCACTGGGTCTCAGGAGATCTGGGTTCTCGTCTCCATTTTGCCAAGCCTGCCTTTGGGGGAAAGGTGGATTCGAAATGGAACAAATGAATCCGTAAGCAGAATACTGCACCAGAACGCCCATCAGTCTGTACCAGCATGGTTTGACTCGCGTTCTAAATTCTAGCCTTGTAGTAACTACGCCAAGAAGGGGCCCACTGCTGCCCAAGATGGACACTAAATTTCATCTACTCCCGGCTCAACAAGAAGCCCAATAAGCGGCTGCCACAGATGAGCCTCTAACAGCATCAAGGTACCGTCCTCCTGGTAGCCTATTAAGAGGTGCCCCCAAAGCAAAGCTTTAAAACGTGCTATTAACCATCTACTCAGCCATTCCGGAGACACATGCCTATGATAAGATTATTGTATTGCCATTAACCTATGGGATGGCTGCAGGCATCTCCCATTTCCGCAAAAAATTCTAAATGCATCTAATGAGAGCCACAAGATCAACTGTCCATATTAATCGCTCACCAGTTTAATTAAGGTAAACCGGCTTGTCAGAAAGGAAGAGAATAAAAAGCCAGCTTCCTCTCCATTTTTCACGATTATTGACTTGCAGTAGTTTGCTGGATTTTGTCATTACTCCTCTACATGGTATTGTCAGAAATCTCGCGCTGGCATCCCATTTTTTATTCATCATGTGCCTTGCAAGTCAGGAGCAAAAAGAAATACAGGTTCTTAAGAAATTAGGGATGTAAAAATCACTTTGACAAGTCAGCACAAGTCTGCAGTATCCAACATGCGGCCGCTCCTATCAGTGGTCCGGAATGTAAAGCAGGGCTGCCTCTCTGAAGCAACTTCTGAGGCAAGGCCAAAATACCAACACTCGCTTATTTTAAGCTGAAAGATTTGCCGCCAGTATCTCGGCCTTAGCAGAGGCACTTCAACTGTTACGGGATGGGGGGAAAGTCGCTCAAAAGCCAGGAAACTACCAAATGATCAGTTGCCAGTGGAAAGACATCTCTTAGGAAACCACAGATGGCTGGATTTGGCTGCGGCCTGAGGTTCTGCGTCCCCACAGGAGCACCCGGGAAGACCTGCAGTGGCCTGGCAAGCGTTTAGCTCCAAAGGGCTTCCGCACTTCTGGCTGTTAGAACCCCTGATCTGCAGTAACTCAGATGTAGGAGGAGATTTCTGCATGCCGCTTTTCCCAGTGGTAGGGGGAAAGGAAAAGGGACAGGGAAAGGGCACAGAAGCCCAACACTGTGAGTTCCTTTCTGCTCACACACAGAGCACTAAGCCCTTTCAGACTCCCCTCTAGTACTCACTTGTAACTCTGCATCATTAACCAACTTTCCTTTCTTCTTTTGTTCATTTACTTATCTATTTAGGCTTTCCTGCAAGGAGCTCAAGGCAGCTGGCATAATCCTTTTCCTCTCCATTTTATCTTCACTACACCCCTGTGAGGTAAGTTAGGCTGGGAGTGAATGAATGGTCCAGAGTTGCCCAGTGAGGTTCATGGCCAAGCGGGGTCTAGAACTAATCCCTACCATTCCAATCACTACACCAAACTGGCTGCAGCCCTCAATCCTCTAGCTTAACTCTGTAAACACTCCAGTGCCTGTGCACAGGGATGTGGAACCTCACTCCTGCGGAGCAAATATAAGTATAGCCCACCAGGATTCTCTGGGGGACACCTCCCTCTTGTGTGGCGATGGCATCATTTTGGTTGTATACGGATTCATCCGCAAGAGAGTGTGTTTGCTCTTTGTGCATAGGATCCCTGACCCCTTCTGCGTTTGGCCCGTCCTTCCCACAGAAGGCTTCTGAGAGCTGAGTCAATCCACTTCTAGAAGGCTGTCCAGCCCAGTTTGAAGCCTGCTAGTTCAATCTGGGTGGCAGGGCCAGTTCCAGGCACAGCTAGCCAGAGTTTCCAAAGGTGCTTCCGGGTCTAATTTCTGGCCCGATGCAAGACCCTGGACTCATTCAGGTGGGCACCACGTCAGAACAAAAAGGGGTGTGAGAGCGCCAAGGCAAGAAGAGGAGCCTGGGCATCCAGGCACACCATTTCTGGCCAACGGCAATGCACTGGGTTCTTCCCACCCCTGCTCACACAGCTTCCCCACTCTAGCTTACCACACTGACAAATAAAAGGAATGCCCTTTATGAAGCCAATTTAATTGGGAGGTGACGGGAAACATACAGCTACTTTCCCCTCCTCGCCGCCTTATCACCAAGTAAGACTTCAGTTCCAATCTCTCTGCCAAATCCTGCTCAACGGAAGAAAATTAACCAGGTCAGCAGAACAGGTACTTGGCGGCGTCTGTCAAGAGGGCCCGGCATCTCCTCAATTACTTGGACACAATGAAGTGGTAATCTTTACAGATCATCTCTCCCAAGAAGCATATTGGGGAAAGGCACGGGGTGGGGAGAGGGGAGAAAGGAGAGAGAAGTCGGGCGGGGGAGGCAGAGGTGAAAAAAAAAGGAGGACGAGGAACGGAATGCAGAAAGGAGAAAGACAACGGCGCATCTGGTCTCCGTTGGACAGATGTCTGTGCGTGATGTACGAGGTATGGATAAGCTGTCGCAGCCCGCTGCCAAATCCAGTAAGTGACTGAAGCCGCCACATGCCCAAGCACCGTATTTAGAGACAGCAGGTAGCCAGGAGTCAAGCCTGTCCCATGCCGAGCTGCCAGATGTTGACACCTGGAACCCGCCCCCCCCCCCCGAGTTTAGCAGGCGCGCACTAGCATCAGAAGTAAGGCAACATCCAGCTTGCAGGATCGAGCTGTTCCCAAATGCCGCTGGAAAATAAGGAGCCACCCGCAACAAACATCTACCAAAAGCACGGTGGTGCACCCACCCACCCCAAACAGGTGCACCCCCCCTCCCAACCAAGCACATGGCAATTTCTGGCAGCTCCACTGGTTTAAACTCAGGTGGCTCTTCTTTCTCCCGAGACCTCTATTAGTTTAAGTTTAAATTTAGATTAACCCTGGCACCTCAATTAACTGGGGAGGGGATGGCTAAGATGGGACACACCACAAGTCTCACGAGGGAAAGTGGCACATGTGCCTGCACACATTCACTTGTCTCTAAGCTGAACGCCCCCCCCCACATGCTTTCATTGGTCCGCCCCCCCTCTCCCCGCCACCAAGGTCAATTGCTTCTCTTGGTTTCAGAGTTTTATTAACCCACACATGCATAGGTTGCCCTCACGGGCACTTGAGCTCCAAAATGAGTACATTCTTATCACATCCCACCATGAGCTCACACAGACCCTTCAGATCACTATCAAAGCACTGAAGGCTCCCCAAGCCCAGGAGGAGCTGATGCTACAAGCGGGAATCCCCAGCCAAGTGGGGTCCCACCTCCTACTTACACTAAACTGGGACAAAAGCCGGTGCCTTGGAATGTATATTATGCCTCCTGGTTCCTGCATGCAGAGACCTGGAGGTTCAGCTTCCTGAGAAACTGAGTTTTTATTAGAAGCAGTAAATCCAAGCCAAGTCTCTAGTCCACAGGATTTTTTTTTAAAGTCTAAAATTTGTAAGCTGCTACCGTATGCAAACTTCGAAGTAAGCAAAACAGTAAGACAGGCCTGGGGCAAACCGTATCTCCCTCACTGCCGCATCTGCAAGAAGAGAAACAAGGGCGAGTCCTGCAGGACAGACGCACGGCGAATTTAGAGATGGATTGGGGTAGGCGGATGGAATGGGGACAATCGAGCAAGACGCCCAAGAATAGTCAAATTAAATCAATACAACTTAACACACTTAATTGCGTGCTGCATTGTGGCTGGTACTCTTCACGCTAAAGAGGTTTCAATAACAAGCCACGAATACTGTTTCCCCCAATCCGTCTTGGACGGTACGCAAGGACTGTGCATATCCTTCACTGGGCGAGGAGCCACACGCAAGAGGTGAGCACTTCACACATGCCCTTTGCCCCCCTCCTCAGGCATGTGACCTTTTAAAGCTGCAATACTATCCAGGAGCCATTTGAAAAAGAGGGAACAAGGAAAAACAACAACAACAGAGTGTTCTCACAGTCTTCACTGCTCTATGTTCTCTGCTGCCCAGGCAAGGAGTGAAATGAGAGTGTTTTTAGTTTGCTTTGGAAAAAAAATGGGGCGGGGGGGGGAGCTCAAAGACACGTTCTGCACTGGGAAAGGGCCCACCATCTCTGGAATGCAAAGGAAAGTAACACAAGTTTTATTGTGAGCAACAACCAACACGCTCGGGTTAGAGTGGAGCCCCAGATGGAGGAAGAGACAGAACTGCTCCTTGCATTAAGCCAGGGATGCTTGGAAACTTGTGCTTTCTCGACTGCTGAGGGTTTTTTTTAAGCCTGCCTTGACCATTTCAGGTTCAATCCAGAATTTATATTCTGTGAACAGATCCCATGAGGGAAAAGAGCTCCTTTTAGGAGAGGTGTCTCTGCCTGGTTTTGCAGAATCCCTCCCCCACACATACATTACAGCTCTCCCCATTCCACGGGGTCTCCTGACTATCCATGTGGCATTTTCTGGGGACTGGAAGGGCCCGGGAAGCCCACTTCTGCAAGCCACCTGTCCAGATTCTATGCAGATGCGGCTCTGACCTGGACACAGATGCAGAAACAGTGAGACCGCTAATTAAATCAGCCCCACTTACTCCGAGAGCAAGAGAGAGGATTCCGAGATTTTTATATAAATAGTCTCGCCCACACAGTTGTAGGAAACGGAGGAGCAGACAGGTTATATCGGGCTACCTCTGTAGGCCCCGTGGAGCTTCCACAAAAGCCTGAGAGGACTGAGCAACGCAAGGAGGGCATGCTCTGGCTTAGATGGCTGAACTGCACAACTGCGACACGGTCCCACCTGGTGGTAAAAGTCGTCGTCATCGAAGATCTCCTCCTGCAGGTCTTTCAGGTGTGCATTGGAGGTGGCTGGCGGTGGGGCCTCCTGGAAAATCAAGCGAGAGAAAGCACGCTCAGGACATCGCAGTGGGCTGGCATCGGGGCTCAAAGGCCTGCTCGGGGCTTCCAGGGGTGATTCGGCCATTTTGAGGGGTCGAATCAACGCAAAAGAAGCTGTGACCAAGCTTAAGGCTGTGACACGTGCTTAGTTTTTAAGAGAGACGATTGCCTCCTCACTATCCCTTTTGATACCAAACCCCTATTGAGATCCCTTAACCAATGACATCTTTGTGGGCCGACCTCAGTCACAAAATGCCAGTGCAGAGTTCTCCACCACCGTGGCAGCTGCTAAAAAGGCATTCCTTCCTTGCACAATTTCTGTACTCGAGCACCTCTTTGAGAAGGACATTGTCTTTTCCCAAACGGTAGTACTGGATAGCTGGGACTACCTCGCTACATCCTGACGTCCTTCACAAGTTTCGGACTGCAACCGCAGCCAATATGGCCAATGATCATGAATGCTGTGAGTCCAAAACAGCTTCCCAGGAACGCTGGAAGTCAGGTTGGGGCAGCTACATGATTGGTTCCCATCAAAGGGAAAACATAGGAAAGCTGACTTCACACTGAGTCAGGCCACTGATGATGTAGCCCAAGAGGGGGCAAAGCAGAACCTGGGCTAGCAGCCCCCCTTGTCTGCTTTGCACAACTGCCTCTGCACAATCCAGCAGTATGAGCATCAAAAAGGGGCAGGTTTCTTCCCTTGACTTCAGGAAGCAAGCTGCAGTTTGCTACAACTTCAAAAGATGGTAGCACAGCAGCAAAGATGGGAAAATTCTGTTGCTGCCATTCTGCTAAATTCTGAGGGAGAGGCCTAGAGCTGGCCTGCAGACCCCCAGAAGTTGCTCGCCCGGTTCTAGCCCAGTACTGTCTACACTTGGATGGGGGCAGCTCCCCAGGGTTTTCAAGCCCGGGCTTTTCTCAGCCCTACCTAAACATGCCACAGGCGGCCAGCTGGGCAAATCTACCTCCTGGAGCAGCTTCCAGGGGTCTCAGAGCAACGTTAGTTGAGCTAGCAGAGGCTGTTCACCAACGACAGCTCTGTCTTTTGATACAGCTCGTTCCACGGTGCAAAAGGGTCTTTCAGCCAAAAGGGTCAGATACCATTTTGGAAGAGCTCTCACAGCCCCTATTTCAGGGGCAGGTGAAGCTGAACGCAAACAGGGAGGGGGCAAAGAGGGGACACATGGGCAAAATCTCCAAAACTACAAGAGTGCCTAGCGTAATCCTTTCACTGCCAGGAAGTGAGCTTTAGAAGTGGCACCTCGAGCTTTTAGAATGGGGAAATGGCTCAGAAGCTAGGAATTCAGTGTTAGGTGGCTGGGACCAAGACGGGTGGGGGGGGGGCTTTGAAGGCTGTACTGGGGCCCCAGCAGGCCAGATTTGTTCCCCGGGCTGAAAGTTTTCTACCACTGGCTTTATATAAATGAAAGAAATAAAGAATATTCTTTTAGATGGGCGGGCACAGACCAACGTTTGTCTTGGCCTGCTCTGGTGTCTCCCCGCTTCCAGAGCATTCTCCCAACAAAACCACTATCCCGCTCAAAAACAGGGAATCTATTCTGCCCCCAGCCCCATGTCTCCTGGCTACGAAATCCCTTACCGTGTGTCCCAGAGAAGCTTCTGAGAGCGGCTCAGGCCCTCGCTCCCGCTTCCCCAGCACCTTGTAGGCTGATCGCTTGGTCCACGTCCGTCGGAGTAATCTCTCTCTGTCCATCAGAATATGATCAATCTGAGTCAAGACTGAACGCTCAAAGGCACCGAAACCCTGCAAGAACATTAAGCAGTGTCAGGTAACAGGGGAAAAGCTCCTGCTCAAAGCTCAAGCATCCCCCTCGATCTTTCTGTGTCAGTGGATAAGCAGAAAGCGTTTCCTAACAAGGGAGGTTTTAGTTAGGGATTTCGGGGGGATTTTTTTGGCGTGATGTGAGTTTTTATTTATGCTATATTCTCTATAAAAACACAGTCCCTGAGGCAAGCAGGGAAAAGCGTCTCTTGACAGATGCGCTGCGTGGCACAACGGCCACACGCAGGCCCAGCCACGCCTTGTGGACAATCTGGTGCTGAGGCTTGAAAGCCAGCAGCACACGTCTCTCTTCAGGAGGGCAGCAGGAGGGGAAAGCAGCAGTGGGGCCCATATGGGGCTGTCAGTGCAGAGGAAGGCTCCCCGACAGCGCACAAGTGGGCCATGCTGGGAGTGGTCCTCCCCACACATCCACGAGGACGACCGCACCGGCCTCGCAGGACAAATACCACAACCAGCTGCGAGGTGGTTCCCATTCTACACATCAATGCAATGCAACACCAGGATACGGCTTGGGGCCAGGATACCTGAAGGAACGTCTCCTTCCCTATATGCCCTCCCGCCCTCCAAGATCTGTAGGAGAGGCCCTGCTCTGGGAACCCTCCCTGAAGGAGGTAAAGAGGGTGCATACGCGGAGGAGGGCCTTCTCTGTGGTGGCTCCGACGGTGGCATGTGCTCCCCAGAGAGGTTCGCCTGGCCTCGAGTTTATATTCTTTTCGCGCCAGGTAAAAACCTTTTTATTTACCCCTTGTTTTAAAGATTGGGAAATTTTAACATAGTTTTAATATATTTACAGTTGCATTTTGTTTTTGTTATCATATATGTGGTTTATTTATTGTTCTTAGTATTGTAAGCCGTCCTGAGACAACTGTCGCGCAGGACGGGGTAGAAATATTTTAAACAAGCAAACACACACCAGAGCTGCAAACTCCCCACAGGTTGCGGAGCTCAGCCCTCCTCTCCGTGGACGGCAAGCCGGGGCCGCAAGAGAGTTTGCTGCTCCGACACTGCACTGCGCATTTATTTATTTACTAAAACACTTTTATGCCGCCCCATTCGCCGAAGCCTCAGGGCGCATGCAAGTCGCTGCTCATGCACAGGTCATGACAGGAACACAGGAACTTCTGCCAGCATGGCAGGAACCAGCAGGCCAGCCCATGGATGCCACTGCAAATCAAGCGGCCTTCGGACCTCCATGCTGAATTTTGCCAGCTGCTGAGCCGTTACATTATCAAAACAGGTTTGGGGCTGCAATCCTGGAGCTCCGTACCCAGGAATGCCAGGCTCGCACAGGCTGGGAAGCCCCGGCCTCTGTTTTGCAGGCGCGCACTGCCTTTGCTGGGGGTACGTTTATGTCAGTCTGTGGGCCGGTTTTTTGCCGTTCAGACAGGGGGCTCAAGCAGCCTGCATTTCAGTTCCTTTCCAAGCATCCCCTCGGCCCAGCCGTCCACATGAGGCAATGCTATTTTTAAAATGTCTTAATCCAATATTATGGCAAGACATCTGCCACCCCCTGCCCTGTCTCGATATTAATTATTTCTATTAGCTCATCTCATTCCTCCTCCTCCTAAAGTTTTTAATTAGTACTGACACAGCATGCGAGGTACGGAGTGCAGAAGGCGAAACGGTACAAGTCCTGACGGGCTCGTGGTCGGCAGCCCCGCGATCCTCACAACTGCCCCACGGCATACCCGGGTACGGGGGCACCTTCGCGAAAAATGCCCATTCAAGGAGAACAGATGCTGATTGGTCAAAGCTGTGTTGGTGCTGCTGGAATAACCAAAATGAGGAAGAGCTGATTCTACAGCCAGCATAAATCTGTATGCAGATTTGCATGCGTTTCTGTCCTGGGGTGTTGCTTATTCTCCGCTACCAGCGATTTGCCCCTGTAAGGCACACGTAAAGAGCGGCTCTTGCCTTTCCCACTTTGCCGGAAGCCAGCTTGGTCTTGTCGTGCCAGTTCTGCAGCGTGCTGTTTCGATAGGCCCGGAACTCGGCAAACCGCTTGGATGCAAACTCTGGGTATTCTCCCATCTGAAGCTTCCGCTTGGGGGGCCTCTGCGGCGCCTTTTCCCTTGCCGTGTCACGTGCCTCCTCGTCATCCTCACTGTGCTTACTGCTTGGGATCTCTTCGTCACTAAGAATGAGATCGAAATTATGTGACTCTCGGGGTTCAAAGAGCAGCCCCCTCCCACTGCTCCCCCTAACCAATCCAGTCAGCTCAAGGGCTGCCAACCTTCCGCTGATGGCTCCAACACTGCATGGGGGGAAGCCGAAAAATCTCCCCTTTGAGATCGGCGGGGGAGGCCCTTCTCCGGGAACCCTCCGTGAAAGAAATTAGGAGGGTGGGTACTCGGAGGAGGGCTTTCTCTGCGGTGGCGCCTAAGTTATGGAACGCGCTCCCCAGAGAGTTCCGCCTGGCACCGTCGTTATTTGCTGTTCGGCGCCAGGCCAAGACCTTTTTACTCAAGCGGCGTTTTAACTGTTAATATTATTGGATTTTATCTGGCCAGGGCGGCTTATTTTATACTGTATTTTTGTATTTTTAATTTAATGTTTATATTTTTGATTTATATTGTAATTATTTTAACTTAGTGTTGTAAGCCGCCCCGAGGCTTCGGCGAATGGGGCGGCATAAAAATGTTTTAATTAATTAATTAATTAATTAATTAATTAATTAATTAATTAATTAGGGGCCCGAGCTTCAGAAGACTGCTGCCAACTACAACTTTCAAAAAGTCGGAGCACGTTCTCACTGGAAAGATGCCCCAATCCACATCAAGGTGGATTGTTTCCAACAGACGTGGAAATGCCGGCTCTCGGTAACGTCCGAAGCGGCTGCCGCTCTGCACGTACCTCTCCTCCCCTGTCTTCTGCCCATCGGCCAGGTGCCTTGTGCTGGAGTGCTGGTGCAGCAGCTCATCCTGGAGGTCTGCCAGGGCTCTCAGCAGTGCCTTCAGGGCTTTGCAGTCTGCAGGGCAAAATGAAAGCGGCGTTAAATACCCCTAATGAGACGTTACCAGGAGCACTGGACAGAACATACATTCACAGCCAGCCCCTTCTCCTGCATGGGACCCAAGCTGGCCTCAGAATTTCTCCCTGCCCCTTTTTGTCCTCACAACAAGTATGTGAGGTTACGTTAGGCCGAGAGGAAGGGGTCTGGCCAAAAGTCACTCAGTGAGCCCCGTGGCCACGTGGGGACTGGACCTGGGATCTTCCCAGCTCAAATCCAACCACTACACCACTGGGGCTCACTGTGTAGGTCATTTGGTGTCTGACATAAAACCCAAAACAGAAATCCAGGCATGATGTTAAACATCAATACAACAAACGGATCACAAAACGGACAAAATTACCCACAGCGAGCTAAACACTCATAAAAGCCAAGATATACAGATGGGTCTTAGCCGGACATAAAAATGTTAGTCAAACTGGTACCTGTTATACCTCTTGAGTGAGAACATCCTGAAGTCAGGGCACCACCACGGAGATGGCCCTGTCTTGGGCAATCACCTGATATACTTCCCCTACTGGTGGTACAAGATGGGCCTCCCACCCACGGCCAGACCAAAGAGCACAGGAAGTCCAGAAGAGGGAGAGGGGCTCCTCAGATAGAGGAGAAAGAAAGCCTAGTAAGAATACCGGAGACCCGGGGAGTTGCCAATTTCAGAATTGCACACCAATTTCTACCTAACAAGCAAGGAAGCAAGGAAGGAAGGACAGACAGACGTTTTGCCCTGATCAGATTTAAAAGGGAAGGCCAGAGAAAATGCAGCTCCTTGCAGGGGGAACCAGGTAGGGAATACAGGAATCCACCTTATCCATCCAAGGACTGTCTAACCTTATTTAAAAGCTGCTGCCACCATTATTATTTCTATTCCACCCCGTTGCCAAAACTCTCTGGGAGACTTCCAACAACAAATAAAATATCGCTGCTATTCTAATGCATTACAGCCTGCCCTTTCCCCTCTTCTGAAGAATCGAGGGCAGTTTAAATGGTTCTCTTCAACTCCATGTCATCCGCACAGCAACAGTACTGTGAGGAGGGTCAGGCTGAGAGTGAGCGACTAGCCCAAAGTGAGCTTCAAAGCCAAAACCCCAAGCTGAGAAAGGACAGGCTGGATCAGGCCCAGTGGCCTTCTAGCCCAGCATTCTGCTGACACAGTGGCCAACCAGCTACCCGAACGTCTCATCCCCAAGAGCGTAGCTACCTCTCTGCCTAACAAATCTTAGGTATTTGGGCAGAGGGCAAGCTGGTGGTCTGGGTTCCCCCACAGTACTTTTAAGTGTGCGATTCTGTGCACGCTTAAACAGAAGCAAGTCCTACAACTCCCTGCGTGCCCTGGCCAGCACGTGGCGAAAATATCCTGCCATGCCTCACAGTTCGGAGAGATGGATAGTGATAATAAAGGTGTAATTCTGTGTATGTTTAGACAGAGAAAAGGCCAACGACTCACTACATTTCCCAAAGGATGGCACCTAAAACCCTGGAAGGCTGCTGGGAATACATGTCTTTGGATTGGTGGGGGAAATGCAGCACCAGCAAGCACGGACTTTTCTCCTTTCACCCCGCTCTCCACACACACACACACACAGGGCCTTTTCACCTGTCATTTCACATCAAAAGGGCAGAGCCACCCGTCGCAAATGGGCTTACACGGCAACAAAGGAAGTACAATCGTGTCAGCCTGTGTGATGAGTGGCAGGCAGGTCCTTCCGAGAGAGAGAGGAACAAAGCGGAGATAAAGTGGGGGAATTATTTTCGCCATCAAGCACATTACACATTATTCCTGAATGGTGGGAAGGGCTGTAAGATATATGACGGTGGAGGGGGGGGTGGGAGGGTGCGACAGTGGCTGCAGCCAGCGCTCAGCATATGCAGAGGGCTGAGAGCAATAGATGGACTAGATTCTTATTAATTTACTGGCATTTCTCTACTGCTGGATTAGCACAACACTCTCAGAACAGGATACGGATACAATTTTAAAACATGCCAAATAACAGTCAATAAATACTTCTTATCCAAAACCCTTTCCTTGAAAAGGTCAGCCGAGAGTGGGATGACTCTGGTGAAGGTACTGGGGAGGGGACACACCTTCCCACAAAAGAGAATACTGAAATTGGCCTGAACTTTCTACTGCACATTTCTAGGCAGAAAAAAACCCCCCATGCCTCTCAGCATTCCCGTGACAGCCGAAAGGGGGCTTTTGGCCTAAATATGCCTAGCCTCAAGGCCATATACTTTTAATGGTAATTTATTATGTACTATTGTATTTCAATGTATTTTATCATGTTGTAAGCCGCCCCGAGGTTTCGGCAAGGGGCGGCATAGAAATGTTATAATAATAATAATAATAATAATAATAATAATAATAATAATAATAATAATATACTTTCAACTATTTACATCTGCTTTCTAAAAGCTCCTAAACTGGTGCACATTCAAAATCGGGGGGGGAGGGGGGGAGGACAAGAGACCAATAGCAGGGGACCTCCTTCCCAATCAAACAGCAGCACAAGAATTTAAGGCAACCCACAGCCCCTTGGGCTCAGGGGTGCCCTACCCACTTGACATCGCTGCCCAGCTGATCAGCCATCGGCTGAGAACATGGGGGGGGGGGCGCTACTGAAGAGGCGCTTCTCCTTGCTGTCATCATCCGAGCCTCCCCTGGAGGCGACCATCGTAGAAAAGACCCAGAACTTGATCGTAGCACCTGGGCAGATAGAGGTGGGGAGAGGCATTTCATCAGGTATCGTGGGCCTGAGCAGTGCAAGGCTTTACAGGTCCAAACCAGCACCCTGAATTGGGCTCAGGAGCATATCGGCAGTCACTGCAAAGCGGGCCAGAATCAGTGTTACGTGAGCGGATCACCTGAGCCCTGTTATTAATCTGGCTGCTGCATTTTGCACAAGCTGCAGCTTCCAAACGGTCTCCAAGGGTGGCCCCATGTAGAGTGCATTGCAGTAGTCTAGTTCAGAGCTTACCAACGCTGAGATCACTGATAGCAGGCGATCTCTGTCCATACAGGAACACAGCTGAGCTACCAGCCAAAGCTGGCAGAAGGTGCTCCGAGCCACTGAGGCTGCCTGGGCCTCAAGTAGCAAAGATGGCTCAAGGAGCACCCCCAAGCTGTGAAACTGCTCCTACGATGGCAGTGCAATCCCACCCAGAGCAGCTTGGATTCCCTCTATCTGGCCAGAAGAACCACCCATTAGCAGTAACTCAGCCTCCTCTGGATTAGACTTCAGTTTGCAAGCCCTCATTCAGTCCATTGCTGCAGCCAGGATACAATCCTATGTATTTTAGACAGAAAAGAATCCTACAACTCCCAGCATTCCCAAGCCAACATGGACAATTGAGGAATGGTGGGAACTGTAGGGTTTTTGTCTGTCTGAACATGCACAGGATCACACTTTTAATCATTATGGCTCATTTTTCACAACTATGGAGGCATCATTAACGGGAGATGCTGAGACTTCTGGAGATAGGCTGGACCGTGATTAAGATATCCACCTCCAACTCCTAACCTAATGCCCAAAGCTACACCTCCAAGATGTAAACACAGCATTTTAAAGAAATAAGGGTGGCTTCTGGGCAAGTCTAGATTGTCATGTATTTAGGAATAACCTATAGTCCCACTTTTAAAATGTCATTTCTACAGTGAGCTGCCCCACCTCTGCATCTTTCTCGCCACACATATAGGAAATTTCAGCTTGATGAGCTTTAGCCCAGGGGGGAAGGATTAGCAATGTCAAGCAGGCCAAGAACAAAATGCCATGGTGATCGCAAGGCTGCTGCCGGAGAGAGCAATTGTAGTAAGGCTGCACGTCCTAGGAAAGTCCTCTCCCCCCAGATTCTCCAGCTCCTTTTGATGGATGCTACCTGCACAGGAAGGGAAATCCCAAGAGCAATTATGCTTCATATTCTCTCTTGGTTGCCTGACTCCAAAAAAAGCACTGGAAAGGCAGCTGCAACCCTTGGCAGGATGAGTGAGGTGCATTTTCACTCGCACCAAGAGTGGCTACACGGGTGTTTACAAGGGAAAGGGGCCTTCTCAGCGGTGGCCCCGCACCTCTGGAATCAGACTCTATCAGGAGTTCACCAGCCTTCTGAGCAAGTCCTCAGGAAGACTATAAAGACCCACTTGTTTCTGCTGGCCTCTGCAGTATTTTTGGCAGCATCTTCGCTGAATACTGTTGAATTTGCATTAAAATTGGCTTCATATAGCTTTGCCTCACTTTTACCCTAAGCAAGTTCTACCCTTAAGGGCAGTCTACACATAATTTTAATTCTACATCTGTGAAAAATTTTAGAGATGTAACTTGAAGAAACAGTTCCAAACTTTATTCGCTTTACTTTGCCCTTCTCCCCACCTCAACCAGAAGAAAAACCCAGCCAGGAACCAAGAGGCAGCGCACTGTAGATGCTCAGCTATGCAAGTCGTCCAGAGGCTGAGGACTTGTGCCGGAGGCATCCCAGACACACCCTCTACATATCATGTGGCCAAGAAAGCGGCGACGTCCCCCAGGCTGATCCAGGGCACCCTGCACTCCAGCCTCGACACAAACACCCAGAGACTGACCCAGGCAGTGGCAGATGGGCCCGGCATCCATGCCACCCTGGGTAAGCTGAGGGTGATACAGCTCGCCCCAGCATCCTTCCTTCATGTTTAAAACTATTTGACGGCCAAGGGGCTGTTGACCAGGTGTACCTGTACTTGTGGATGTTGATTTTGCTATTCTGTACTTTAAACATACAGTACCCTTTCCTAAAACAACACGGCGCTTCCTCTCCAGTTACTGCGCATTTCTCAAGGCTGGTAAATCTAGGGTCTAAAATGATCTAAGTGAGCCACTGAATCCAGAAGCTGCCACTCCCTTCTACAAGAAAGCAAAGAGCTGCATATTTAGGGATGCTGCTGGGCTGAGGGCAAAGCATGCCCCTCTAATTCTGAAATTGGATGGCCTGGC